TTTATTCTTTTACTACTTATCTATATCTATAAAGGAAGATGTCCTGACTCATTCATTCACTGACTCATCAACGCCCAGCCCAAACCCCTGAACCAAATTTTTACCAAAAGTATATGAAATAGGGGTAGAATTTTCCGGGGAGTGCCACTATGTGTATAGTTTTTTGTTACCGATTTCCTGGAAACCGGTTTTTTTAATTTTTTTAATTTTTTGGGAAATAATTGGCCGAATCTAAAAGAATTATAGATCAAACAGGGGCAGAATTTTTCGGGGAGTGTTATAAAGTGTATAATTTTTCGTTACCGATCTTTTTGGAAGCCGGTACGGAAGTTTTTTCAATTTTTTGGGAATTTATTGACCGTAGTGGTGACAAGTAGTGGTAGAATTTTACGGGGAGTGCCATGATGTGTACAGTTTTTGTTACCGATCTTTTTGGAAACCGGTTTTTTTAATTTTTCCAATTTTTAGGGAAATAATTGATTGAATCTCAAAAAATTATACATGAAGAAGGAGTATAATTTCCCGGGGAGTGCTATAAAGTGTACTATTTTTTGTTACCGATCTTTTTGGAAACCGGTTCGGAATGACCGAATCTTAAAGAATTGTACATAAAGTAGGGGTTGAATTTCCCGGAGAGTGCTATAAAGTATATAATTTTTCGTTACCAATCTTTTTGGAAAGGGCAATCTTATAGGGAAAGAGAGAGAGAGAGAGACTATTTGCGTGTTTTAATACACATGTTCTCCGGGGCGAAGCCCGGCGGGGCATGCTAGTTATATTATATTATAGGATTGTATAGCTTTATACACAGCATTATTGCTGATGCCTTACCTTTTAAGATACTTTTCTCTATCACATTTGACTTCATGTATAACATTTTTCATCTCTTGCACTTTAATAAAGTTACTGAACTTTAATGTAATTGTTGTTGTTAGTATTATTAGTCTCTAATATTATAAAATTAACAGTCACACTGTCAGAAAGCAATAGAAATTAATACTTATTAACACTCTCACGTGTATCATTTACGATACATCTAGAACCTAACCACGTAGGCCAGGTGTCATAAATGATACACCAAGTAATCAAGTCAAAAGCTATAAAAAGAAAAACAATAAAATACAACAACTGGTTGTATTTTATTGTTGTTGCTATTTTATTGTATTTTATTTTATTGCTGTAAAAAACAACCGTGACCCGAAGGCGTAATTTTCTTTTATTCCACTTGGCTGTGAAAGTGATGACTTGTTAGATAATATGTGACCGACCAAATACAATATGTAATATAAAATAAATTCTGTTAAATAATATAAATATTTGGAAAAGATGTATAACAATATGTATTGTAATATCTGCATCAGTATATTATGAATCTTACAAAAGATTTAACATCGTAAATCATCGAACAATCACTTCTCATTCCAAAATAAAATCGTTTAATTATAAGTATTTGCAGAAAAACAAGCTATCAAGAAAATAAACCCCACAACTGTAACAAAAATGGTTTATGGTTCTTTTTGACGTTAATTAAAGAGGGAATTTTTTTGGGGAAAAAGAAATTAATATCGTGAAGGTACTCCCTCTCTCTGATGAAGGGTGAAAGAAAGAAAGAAGAGAGATGGCATCGTTTTTGTGACAGCCTTAACTTTGCCGGTATGAATCAATCTAGTTATCTGCCTACTTGGACGTGATATCTCTTTTACGTATATTTATACGTAAATTTATACGCTCCCGCCCTTTTACGGATAATAAATTGCTACAGTATCGAGAGCATTCTGCGAAACGAGATGTCGCAGCATTTGCATGTTATCTCCTGCTCTTTCGCGGAAATTACGCTGCCGTTACGCTCTCAAAAAGCACGGGGAATCGAGCGCACACAATGGTGCGTTATCTGTGCGCGCGGCTTAGTGCGCGACACTCCGTGCCTTTTGGAATTATTTATTGCTTAATCACCGATCTGGGGCTTTTGGTAGTAGTTAACCCCCATATTTCCCCGGCTTAATGGCGAAAATAAACAGTGACCGGCACGCCAAAACACTTCCTCGAGCAACTAAATGTCTCGCGGGCATCGTGTGCCGCCATATGCGAAATGTCTAATCGTGACGTTCCACCGGTATGCACGGTTACGCCCGGCTATTTCGCGAAGATGCATTTCCATTTGCTCGCCCATGCAATTCCACGTTAGAAGTGCGAGAGGTGTCGCTTGAGCGATGATCCGTCATTACGCGAAACGGTGAATACGACATAAATTCAAGATATAACTGATGAAACTTTGAGGAAACGCAAAAATATTACAAGTTTCTATTCTATTTAACTGACTAACTTGTGTACAAGAATGTTGAGTAAGTTGCTCTAGATAGTCTAGATTTGCATCGCGACGCCACATTTAAGATTCGCGTAAATCTCCATCTGATTAGCGAGTGTGAGATACGCGACGAGAGAGCGAGATAAAGCGTCGTCGCTAACTTAATCGCCGCGCAGTAATGTCGACGATCGTCCCCCGGCAGCATTATGAATCCATTTAAGGTTCGTAGGTAACGCGCGCGGTAGGGAAAGCATTATGTTTCCACGTTTCGCGAGAGTGCATCCTATGCGGCGCACGTTTCATGCATTTTTATCCCATTTCAAGGAGTGCTACGTTACATGCGGGAGATGCACCTACGTTATGTAAACGTTCCTACGTCTCTCTCTTTCTCTCTCGCTCTCCGTTTCTCGCACTAGATTATTTATTATACTAATTACGGAATTGCGGCCGCCGGGAGTTCTACTTCCCAGGCTAGCTTGACGGCGTGAATAAAGTTTACCTCGGAATAAGTTGTACCGCAAACGCGTGGCGTCCTTTACGAGGCGCTCAGGCAAAGTTTATCGAAAGCATTTAACCCAATACTAACACGTACATCGAATTAATTTAACTCGCGCGGCGCGCGATAGCGCGCTTCCTTCTTTGTAATTGGTTTCTCCAGGGGATGGACAAAGAGGATCGTGCACGAGGATCGTAGTTGTCTCGTTCCCTTTCTTAGACGGTAATAGAGGCGCCGCCGCCACTGGCTGTCGACTGCCTTTTCGCTTTGATCGCTCGGCTGGAATAGGATTCGGAGCGTCTCGAAATCGATGGGAAAGCGGCGGCGGCAGTACCGATGACCGCAAGGGTTTCGACTGGAAATTACCAAAAGACAACCGTATTTCGATGCCGCGGCGCCGTCGAGATCTCGAGACGCTCTGCGCGACTGCAAGAGCTCTGAGCGCGAGTAAAGCGTTTTCCGATCGCGACAATCATTTGCGAGTTCTTTTTTTTCTATCTCTATCTATCGTCCCGTTATTTTATTTCAGAAAACGAACAAGCAAGATTCAAGAAAAATGGATTGTTAAAATTAACTTGTACCGCATCACGATTGCGGTGTAAGTTGTGCCAAAAGCGCCGTCTTTCGCCGTTTTTACTATAAGCATATAATTCTCATCAGCATTTATTGCTCCAGAGCGCGTAATCCTGGCGTGATAGTACAAAAAATATAGAAATGTAATGCTGTCTCTCTCGAGTTTGCATGTATTGCTGGTGTTAATCGCGCCAATAGAGTTTTTACACCGAAAATTACATATATTATGCTATAATATTGTTCGATCAAGCACTTTAACAAACGTTGACGAGACGCAATCAGTTATGCTAATTGAGTTAATTGTGTACGATAATAGATCTGTTATCCTCCATAAGTAGATAATAGTGTCCATGTTAATGAAATTTTCAGTCAATTTCTACAAATTGTAATAATTAACATACGTATTATATGTCATTGTATCAATCAAACAATAATCATTCTCGTTTTCTTCAAAGATTAATTCTAATAATAACAAAATCATGCTTTTTTAAGATAAATTCTCTTATTATCCTAATATATCCTATTACTCTATCGATGAACTCGTATATAATTGTCGATGCTAAGTCAATTTAAATTATTTCTTGCTTGATTTGATGACATTGCAGTTTGAAAACTGTTCTCTCTGCGCGGAATCGTGCTTAGAAAGCAAAATATCTTTCCTCGCGAAATGGAAAAAGGAATGGAAATAGGATTGGTATAGGCTTAATCTTATATAGGAGAAATGTCTCTCCAGGAATATATTCCTCGTTCTCTCAGTATCCTATCAAATAATAAAACACAACTGAACGGAAATATCAGTCCTAGCTCAGCAACAACAAATAAACTTTTGAAAAATTATTATTTTACAATTTTATACTTTTACCTTCATGCATTTAAATACATAATCCGAAGAGAGAACATAATCAATAAAATCATATTACTAATAAGTTATTATTAATAACGTTTAATATCGCAATCTCTTATATCAGCATGTAGATAAGTACTGTATTTAGAAAAAACGTGCGAATTACACAAATAATGTGCATATTAATTGATCGTATAGAAAGTAAAATTTTAAAAAGCAACTCTATAAACTTTGTATTTATTACTGCTTGTATCAATTGTTACGTGTTTTTTAAAATTGACCAAAAATTAAATAAAGTATATACAAGCATACTTAAAGTAGTTTGTATATAGTTTGCTATTTTCCATAAAGCGTACTTCAAATATCTAAAGTTTTTTTTTAGATATTTTCCATCGCTTATGGAAAATCGACTAGTAGCAAAATAGATTTATAATCGTTGATCGATAGAACATTAAATCACGTCACAAATTAAAACGTTGAAAAATTTGATGAAAAATGACATAAAAAATTTACCTGAATTATTTATGACTGTCCCACTTTTTAACCGGCGCTTAATCCTAAAATCAGAGATAGCGTGCATCAATCAAACACGTCTATTAGCTATACGTAAATGCATTGCTAGAATAATGAATGAACCGTGAGCACTTTGCGAATTCTAATCACGATTGTTGTACATTATGATTCAATGTCAATAAATACTCTTCATTTACATAAACAAGAAATACTATTATATACGCATCGATCGAACGTCTTTCATAGCGAGATTTTTTTATTGTTTGCAGGTGCAACAGGTTTGAAAGATCTGACGATAAACGTACCGACCATGGTGAGATCAGGCGATACCGTAACATTGTCATGCCATTACGATCTGGAAGGCTTACCTTTGTACTCTATACAATGGCTTTTCAATGATAACGAATTTTATCACTTCAACCCCGACCGCAAACCACCCTACGCCACTTACAAAGTGTCTGACATACAAGTCAATGTAAGTAATTTATGTAGTGTCAATGTATATTTATTATATATAAAATACAGTAATATTAAGTGAGTCCCAGGTGCGATAAAATTCGCAAAATTTTCGCAAATATTTTCGCGGTGCACGTCAGTTTCACTACCTTACCCTCTTTCAGCGTACAAGGATGACTCCGTTTTTCGCGCTCGTTATAATTTGACTTTCACATAACAAAGAAGGACATAGACAATAGATATCTGACTCGGCAATTATACATGTATACGGCTGGCATACGTTTGGCCAACATTGGTTTAAAATCAAATATCGTACATTTATGAACAAATATAAATATGTGAAAATTCTCATCATTTAGGGAAAGTCGAGTTATGGTAAAATAGATTTGCAATCACTGATTGATAGAACAAAAAATTTATCTGAATTATTTAAGATTGAATAACATTTTTAAGAGTATAAAATTCGCCAAAAATTTCAATTATTTAATTATGAAAAAATGAAATGTTTCAGAAATTTCTTTCATCTTTTGTAAAGAGCAATAATCCTCAGTTCCTACATTTTTTCTGCAATTATAGATTCAATTGAGTAAAAAATCAATCACCCTGGGACTTTTGAGTCTACAGAGAGTTTTCGAAAGCGTTTCTGTGTTACAAAAAAATCTATAGAAATTTAAATATTATCTTTAAGGTTTCAAAAAGTTATTTCTATACTTACATAAGGCCGGAACTGTTGCAATTTTTTTTTAAGTGTTGAAACGTCAGGAGAAAACTGTAAAATACAAAAAAAAATCGACTGTGTCTTAAAAGACCCACGGTGTCCGCATAGTGTTAAAATATGAATAAAGTTTGCATATAATCAAATTGTGAAAAAATTGTTCAAATAATCAGTAGCTAAGAAAAATAATAAGATGATTCTGAGACGTCCCGCATATTTCAGATTGAGTTTAATCAGTGCCCCTCTTAAAGTAATAACCAAATCACCGAGCAGGTTTATCTTTATTACAACTTCTCAATTACAACTTGATAAAGAACTTATCCCTTTAATAATACTTTCGTAAAAGTTTACTAGGTATACTAATCTCGGTAATACCATGGTGTTCACATTACACACGGAGTTTGCTTGAAATCAGTCTTAAATCCATGAAAAAAATCCTACGCCGTACTTAAATAAATAAGATTAAAGTTTCAATTTTCGAAATTAACAATTTTATATTGTTATATTGAATTTAATCATCGACATTCAAGTTTCAGCAAAACGACTTGCGTAACTTAAATAACACAAAGAAACTTGAAGTTTGATTGCTTAATATCTTAAATCGCAACGTGTTGTATTCTCGCTGTATGACGTGTATCATAAATTGTATTCCTCCGAGGGATGCGCATATCGATGCGCTGTTAGATCCATTTATCAAACGAGCTCTCTCTCTTTTGAAGAGTCGTCGAGAGATAAGAACTAAAGCCGGCCCGATTTTTGCGCTCGCGAGTAAACGACGAGCTATCTTTTTGCGACTCGCGCCCCGATCCGACCGTAATCTATTTTTCTACGGAAAACACAGCCTGTAAGTAGATTCGATAAGAGAGAAGATCTGGTCGCGCTCTCTTGCCGAAGGCAAAACTTCTTGCCTGCTCCCTGGACAACTGATCTTCCTTTCCTCTCCCCCTCCCCATCCGCCCTTTCTAATCTCCCATGCATCGGGGGTGCCTCCATTTTTCCGCCGGTATGGCCACGACGAAGGCAAAAGTTTCCTCTTCGCGGGTGCCGGGTGGAGGAAGAGAATCGATAGACTGATTTATGGCATGTACTACGATCGCGACACGGCTTGAACCTGGGTCAAGCGAGTTCCGTGTTTTACGGACGTCGATTCAACGTCGCCGCAATCGCGTCGCGAATCTGCCCCCTCCCCCTTTTCGCTCGTCCTGCCCGCTCTCGCGTCCCTTTTTCTCGCGTCCTCTTAAGGTGCGACTCTCCTTAAATTTTCCGACGCTCGAGAAAATGGAATCCCCCTTTCCGCAAGAAAGAGCACTCGGCGCGAAAGCAATATCCTGTAGGTTTGTATAACGTTCTCGCGCGCGCGTCGAAGAAAAATGTTAGAGATTAATCCTAGATGCATGCTTGCTTCTATTGAGTATATATGAGAAACGCGGAGAGTTTCTGGCATTGCAATGTATTCACGTACATTTTACATTAATTTAATAAATATGCGATGACTTAAATCTATATGTAGCGATTAAGAATTCTAATGTATAGCTTAACGAACTATTCTAGATTTATTGGAACTAGTGATTATTAGTAGTTTCAATGTTATTAACCTTCCGTTTTTTTCTTTAGCTTCAAATTTTCGTATATATTTTTTACGTAAAATTAACAGAGTTCAAAAGGTTTGATTTTAGTCGACACTTGAGAGATACATATGTGACAGAAAATCTCAATATATTTATATTTAAGAAAAAGATAACTTAACTTTTAACCAATCATTCGCTGACATCCGCTCTCTTCCTATAAATTTCACAGTTTGCAATATGATTTCGTTAATAAATATCTTTCAATTAGATGGAACACCGCACGCGTAAGGAAGACGTATATAACCGCGGTATAGCGTGTACATTTAATAGCGTCCAGCGCTGGCTTCCTTTTTGCTTTCTGTCCCGTAGTCCTTTGTTCGACGACTCAAAGGAAGTCCTCTCCAGGAAAATACTCTCGTGGGATCGGTAACGTGCTTCACTGATAATTAGGACAAAGAGGTGGTCGTGCAGACCGCAAATGTGGGCCAGAAGTTTAGAGGGAGGAAAAGCATCACGTAGAGAAGGGATGTGAAAGATGATATAGCAGATAATGCTGATTCAGGGTGAGGGATAAAGAGGACAGGCGGGAGAAAACGTGATCGGACAATCGGTAAAACATTGCAGAGAGCGAGGAGCATAATGTATGGAAGTGTAAATGAATTATTGAGGGTGAGAAAAACAGAGGAAGACAAGATGGTAGAGAGAGAGAGAAAGAAAGAGAGAGAGAGAGGCGATCAAGGAACAGGCAAGAGGCAACGTGGAAATAGTGGTGGAAAAGCGAGGTGGAATTCGCTTGAAAAGTGTCAGGTGACTTCTGGAGTCGTGAACATTTCTAAGCGTGAGACAAGGGTGATGAGAGGAGGAAAATGATATGGGAAAAGAAACTTATCGAGAGAAGCTGTGACAAAGTGACGCTGACGTTACAGATACAGGGACTTTCATCTGAAGACGATTCTTCATTCAAGTGGGACAGCAAGGATTCAATTTTTCCAACTGTCTGGAACTTTGTATTTGGAGTCTTATTTTACAAGATTCTCACTCTGCGCTCCTCGCAATACGCTTGAGAAAGTGACACCGGAACATGATTTTCGCATCTCTAATCCCTATTACATTAACAGTGTCATTTCGGAAAGACCCGATTGCGGGATGGTTAGTAACATTAAACTGTCGGCGATTCCCCACATGATGCATAACTTCTAGAACAATTTAACGAATGAACATTAATTCGGGGAATGACTGCTCGGTGAATTACAGCGGGACACACGTAGGAGTATAAGAGTAGAGCAAGATTTAAGCTCGGCTCGAGCTGAGAGACAGGATAGGAACCCAGGCTGGGAATTTTCATGAGCGTATAAAGCATCCTGAGTCAGATAGAACAGCAAGTATATCCGCGTAATCTTTACACGGAGAATTTACAACGATCAATGCCGGCAAATAGCCGATAGTGGACTCGGAAGGCATCTTGGCGGTCATTCGCTTCCGATGTCGCGGCAGTTACAATGAGATCACTATCCGCTTTACCGCGATCGTGTAGCAGCCATATCGGTGAACTCGTCTTTTTATAGGACCACTTAACAATACTCCGCTTGCCGATTATCGTCGCGTTATCGCCAAGCTAAACTCGACGGAGAAATGGCTTCGTAGGAACGTACGTGAGATGCGATCACCGCTCTCTCGTGTGCGCGCCCGAAGATTTAGGATAATAATTTTTCACTATTCGATTAAGTTTCTATCGTCTATCCCGATTGGCTCGTATATCTCCAACCGAGTATTTTCAGTCGATATAAGAATAGGCGATATTTGTTCCACGTGAGTCATGGTCCGTAATACCTTGTAACGGTATTGAGCTATTGTTACTGCGATGTAATCGATGAATCGAGAGAGAATAGCTCGCTTGTACCCTCGTAGCGTTTTAACAAATACAAAGAATAAAATCTCGAATATTGCTGCCGCGCGGGCTTTTAAAGAAAAAAAAGAGTATTAAACATATATAGTTGAGTATAATTCTACTTGAGTACAAGCGATATTTGCGAAAGCATTTTGTCGTAGCATTAGAAATGTTTATTTTCCGATATAAATGATGCAAATTAATTTATTGACGTGAAAAATTTATTCATTACTGATTATTTAAAATCTATTAATGTTATCAAATATATTAAGATGTTTCTCTTCAAATTCAGATTTGATATTTAAAAGTAAAGTTAATATGCGATATATGAACAATATCGAAATCTTTATGTTGCCATTTAAATTTAAATCGGTACCAGATTTTAACATACGTTATGTATGTACATGCATGTATGTAACGCTCGTGTGACTTCATTTAATCAAGAATGTAGAATGCGGACTGAAAAATGGGATGCATGTTCACACTTTTCATAAAGGAGGTAACACGTGTCTGCCGCAGTTTCCGCCCCGGCAGATCCGAATACTCGCAACCCTTTTCAATGTTATTTTTCATCGAGCATCTCGTCCATGCCGATGCCAGAAGCGGAAGAAACGATGAAAAAGACCTGTCCCCTCATCCGATATAGTTTGTAAAGGAGGCGGAGACGCTCGCCGCGATGAATATAAATGCCTGCGAAGAGGAAGAGAGCGGTGTCGCAAAAAGAAACGAGCACGGACGGATCGTAGGATCCAGATTTAAACGTGGAAAGGCTCGGATGTAAAATCGATCAGCGGTACAAAATGCAGAGCAATATCGGCGATGCTTAATACCAGGAGGATTTGACGCGGACATCGAATGAGAAAGAGATACGGGCGCTAGATTAATCCTCGCAAATTTGAAATTTTTTTAAAGAGAACGAAATTTCTTTGTAATAAGACGTCAATTTATTTATCGCTGATAATAATACGAGAGAGAAAAAGATTCCACAAAATTCAATTATAAGTATAAATAATTAAATTAGAGTTGCAACTTATCACAATATCTGTTCCTATTATTTTGCTCATCAATATATGTCCCTATTGTATTTTCTAAATCATTATTTGTTTTTAAGCTATTGCAAAGTTATACTTCACTTTAATTTTATTTTCGTTCAAAACTTGCTAAGCATGGCTTTATTTCAGTGCTAACTTTTTATATAAAATTTTAACGCTTTCAGAAAAAAGTTCACGTTGCGAAGTTCTCGTGGTAAATATGCATGTTTTCTCGACATATTCGGAAAGTAGCATATGAAGTCAAAGCACGCTGCCAAGTTATTTCTGACGTAGACGCTATATATACACGTGTTTCGAATCAGTGATATGTCACCGATATTGGAAGACAAGAAACTTTCGTCTTTTGTTCTCCGACACCTAAGAGATAGCTAACAATAAGACGTGATGCTTTCACCAAAGATGTTTCGATAAAAAATTCTTTTCCGTGCTGTAATCTATATCTCGCACCGTCAGATCTCCCCCTCCCTCCCCCACCTCCTTCAAACGTCTGTAAAAGCATTCCGAGGAATGTCGTTTTGAAAGGAATCTTCGCGAACGGCGTTACTCTTCAGTGACAGTTTCACCGGGATCCGCGCTTTTAGCGAAGTTGCCCGAATGCACGATCAATACTTATTACCGTCTTCCTTCTCCTATCCAAACCGGTAGACGCGACGGGATAACTAAGTGCAAGCACGACTGATAACCAATTCCACAAAAATTTACTTTTCCGTCGTCTTGCTATTTTGTAATCGCGACAACCTTATCGCGAGGCAGAATAAAAGAACGTTAACTAACCTGGAGGCGGTGAACCATTCGTAATGAATATTCCTCGCGTCTTATTCACTGCTTTCGACAAACTTTCTCCCAACTCGGGAAGATCGCTGAGCATGAAGTTTAATTGGAGCAACATTGGAAAATGTTAAATGTAGACGTTCGCTAAAGTTCTGTATGAATTCTTACGAGATCACGCGAAAATAATTTCATGTCGGCAAATTTTATCTGCATAAGAATACCTTCCGCGTGATAGAAGGTTGGAAAATTGCGGTTGTCCGCGGGAGCGTCCCTAACTATTGACGCGAATCTCTATCGTGGAAAATGTCGAAACTTTTCGTTGCGCGGCGTAACGGCGCCGCTAAAAACCAGGCTGCGAAAGGATGAGACGGATCGTGGAGTGAAAGATCAAAATGGCGAAGGTGGAGAACGGGGCATAGGTGGAGTACGGTACATCAAGCTTCGCGTTTTACAGGTCTCCAAATCGAACTCGCACGACGTAACATTGGTGGACGTGTCCAGAGAGCTTACCGGGATGTACAAGTGCGAGGTGTCCGCAGGCAGCCCTTCCTACCACACGCTGATCGAAAGGGCCAAGATGGAAGTAGTCGGTAAGTACGTGCGCGTGTCGACTGTTGAAAATGTCTTTTTTTAACTTTTTTCCGTAGTAGTCGAAGATAAATCGCTCGTTCCGGGGTTGTCTGAAATATACACGCGTTTTCTCCGTTTATCTCGGTACTCGATTTCGAAGTGATACATTTCGTAAGCAACATAGGGATCAACGATCGACTGTAAGACAAGATTTAAACAAAATCGATGTGCTTTATGACGCTCCAATAAGATACATGTAGCCCATTTTTAATAGATAAACACTAAATCAGTGCTTTTTTTCCCGATATTCTTGTAATTCCCTTTGAATTTTTATTTTATTTAAAACTAGCTGGTTACCCGGGCTTCGCCCCGGAGGACATGTGTAATAATACACGCAAATAATCTCACTCAATAGTCTCTCTCTCTTCCTCTCCCTCTCCCTCTCCAAGATTCGGTTAATTATTTCGTGTAAGAATTAAACAAATTAGAAAAACCGGTTTCCAGAAGATCGGTAACAAAAAACTATACACTCTATAGCACTCGCCAGAAAATTCTACCCCTATTTTATATGGTTGTAATATAAATTCGGTCCAGCCGTTCTTGAGTTAAAAATGGTGTAACTAACCCGACTTTGTTTTATTGGTAAACATCCCGTTTAGGGGACCCACCTCCGATGGCCTTGACCTTCACATATGTTGTCAAGGTCACCCTTCTGAGTGACCTTCAAAAGGTTTTAGTCGGGGGTCGCTTTTTATTAAAAAGTTATTAACAAAAAAAAGTTTGGCGACCTCACACCGATTTCAATGACCTTGATATATGTTGTCAAGGTCATGACCCCGAGTGACCTTCAGAAGGTTTTAGCCGTCGCTCGTTATTCGTTAAAAAGTTATTAACAAAAAAAGTTTGGAAAATATGTAGGTTAGATGACGCGCTTTACAAGTATTTAACTGTTTAAAGCGCGTCACTAATCTACATAGGTTAGATGACGCGTTTTAACAGTATTTAGGCCCAGTTTCACAAGTGTCGGTTAACTTTTAATCTTAGATTAACTCACTCTTCGTCTCCTTCTAACGTCCCCCTTAGAAAAAGATGAAGAGTGAGTTAATCTAAGATTAAAAGTTAACCAACACTTGTGAAACTGGCCCTTAATTGTTTAAAGCGCGTCAACTAACCCATGCGTAAACCATTTCGGGGCTACCGCACCTCCCCCGAAAGCAGGGGGGGTGTGGGTGAACCTCGGTTCGCGTGAAAAGTGTATGCGTGAACTTTTCATGCGTGGAAAGTTAATATGCGAGATGCCACATGAGTTAGATGACGCGCTTTAAAAGTATTCAACTGTTTAAAACGCGTCATCTAACCCATGTAAGTATTCTCTGCTTTAACAAAAAGACTTCAATTTATCAACAATTTACTGCTTTAAATGTTGTGTTTTGGTAAAGCAGCGACTTTCTCGCGAAATAAAGTATTCTCTGCTTTAAAGAAAAACGTAATATTAGTCGTTTATGCCTCTCAGTACTTAAAATAACTGCTATATTTTTGAAACTTTTTTTGTTTATAACTTTTTAATTAAAAGCGACCCCCGACTAAAACCTTCTGAAGGTCACTCAGGAGGGTGACCTTGACAACATATGTGAAGGTCAAGGCCATCGGAGGTGGGTCCCCTAAACGGGATGTTTACCGTTTTATTTATATAGATATAATATACACAAATATTTGCTATATTTTTTAAAGCTTTATAGAACACGATCGATTAAGTCTAGATGAAAAAGTAAAATTCTCAGCAAGTTAATATCTCTAAAGTACGTGCGATAAGAAAGTTATGATAGGGTATAGAGTAACCAGATCGAGGGTTAATAGCGACCAAATTATTATGGACATAATTACGGTAAATATTTTACCGTAATTTTCTTAAGAATTCGAAATTCTGAAGGAGAATATATTATTATTCGTAAGCTATTACACCCAGCTGTCTCTGCGCGAGGGAAAATCTCGTATATCAAATAAGCACATACAGCTTCTGTAGGGATATCACGACGTGACGTAGATTACAAATTATTAAACAAAATGCGCGCAGCAGCGGTGTCGGGGCCCGGGGGACACGTTGGAAACACTAGCCCTAGTCGTCAGTATCAAGCATGACGGGGGTCGTTGTTCAAGTGTTTCCGGTACGCTCTATGTGACGCCCCCGGCGCCGTTGGCGTGTCGCCAGGTGTCGAGTTAGTGCCGTGGCAGCAGTCGCATGTGCTAAACGACATAATTATTATGCCTTAGACGCCCCAAAAACGGATCCTGCGATTCGTACCGAGAAGGAGCGCATAGCAATGGGCGAGACGCTACAGGCGAACTGCACCTCAGGCAAATCCCGGCCCGCCCCCGAGGTTACGTGGAAGCTCAACGGAGAACTCGTAAGTATCGCCTCCTTGCCATCCTATATACGTCTCGACGTAGTCGTAGCTACGTGACCTTACTGGATGATTAGAGTTGCGCGGGCGGCGAAAGGCTCGAGAATCGCGTCTATATTCCATTCTGTTTCACCCCCATCCCCCATTCCATTACGTCAATCCCGCCGTTCCTCTATCGCTCACTCGAGGGCTTCTCTCCTCGAGTATCGCACCGATATCGGGATTACGATTCGCGGGATTTAAAACAAAAGAATCGCAACGCGTTCGACGCAGCGCTTCTAGCAAATTTGGTAGCGCGTAACGTGATTTCGCATGCAAATTGATCAATTAGCAGAATTAGCTGGTGGGAAGAAATAATCGACCTAGATAAGGAAAGAAAATTATTATATAGAAAATCTTTAAAAATGTAGCTATAAAATTGCAAAATTCAATGGTGCCAACTGTCATACTAGAGGTAGCTTTGCGTAAAAAAATACCCTGTTACGGATGGCGAGCGAGAGAAATTTCGATAGAAAAATGGAGAAACGGAATTTCGCAGCTTCGGCATGTTTCCGTTCTATAAAAAGCCATCGAAATATGTTATTCGTATTTCATATAAACTTTGATATCCCCAGTTTACCGTCATAATTTAATATCGAAGTTTAATAAAGGATGAACTGTAGTTGCTGTCACTTTGGAACATTCTGTGCACGTTCGCATAGCCGACAGGATTGTCAATAAACTAAATCCATGAATGGAATTTTATTTCAGAATTATTAATTTGTATCGACGTTAATTAAGATGACGTGAGACGTGACCAATCGTTTTGCCAGTAAATTATTTCTCGATGTGCACATTCTCTTATGAATAACAATTATTAACTGTTTTGTCTAAAAATGATATAAGTCAAATTTTTTGAAAAAAAAATAAATTAAAGCTTATTTCTTCTACTGATTTTTATCTTTTTTTTTTAAATTCAATACTAAAAAGTGGACCTATATATCACTTTCAAAAGAAACACTAGCTTATGTGCAGATTCTATATTAATCTCATATAATAAGTTCTATGAAAATTAATTCTTACTGTGAAAACAAAGTATTTGTTCAATCAAATATTTTTATTTTTGCAACAGTACGCTGTAAAGCGTGCAAAATTAATTCGCAGAAATTAGAATTTCACGCTGCAACACGTCTGATTTTCGTCGTCACTTTTTAACGGCCATGAGAGCGAATTATTATTTAAATGTTCTGATATTTTGAATATATTTTGCATACCCACGTGTAAATATCTTTTGTACTTCACGTACAATGGTGTTTAACTTGTCACATACATTTTTTCTATCACCATGATATTTCCGATAAATTTTTCATGATGCTTGGACGAAAAGCTCCACGCATAATTTCTTGCGCAAAATACTACGTTCAATTGAATCACCCTCATAACAAAACACGCGTACATTCGTCATTGGTCAAATTATTGCTATAGATAGATTTGAGATCGGGCTCGCTCTCTGTATCGCTATTCGTTATTCGTATATTTTCATGTAAAAAACATTCATTTGCGCGAGTTTTATTTGATTTTGTTGAAATTCTCGCGGATATCCAAGAATCTCGGTATATGAGCTGTTTATTGTAGCACAAAACTCGACATAATGAAAATATTAATTAAAATGAAAGTTCCATAACACACGCGTATGTGCACGTAGATATGTTTGTATGGTACTTTTGTATTATTGTAACAGCTTATTGGTGAGCTTATTGCATGGCTACTTTGAGCTAACACAAACGAGATACGTGCGTGTTATACGATCGCGTGATTAACTATAAAGACGTGCCCGGGCCTTTCGTTCCATAAAGTAGATAAATCTCGAGGAACCTTCAAGTGGAAAAGCTTCGTACGCTAGTAATCTGTAGAGCTCTCCTGTTGAGTGCAACGTCAGACGAGCTACGATCGCGTACTAGGAGAAACAAAAAAAAACAAAAAAGAGGAGAGAGAGAGAGAGAGAGAGAGAGAGAAAAGTAAAAGACAGGCGGTGAGAGGATTAAGTGTATAGTTGCTCATCCGTATTTTTGCAATCATCGAGTGCCCCATGTATCCATCGACGAAGTTTTGCCCTTAACGCCCCAATTAAATGTTTTAAGTGTACCCGTCTCTCTTTCTCTATTTTTCTCCTTCTCTCTCACTCCTCCCCTTCTCGCGCTCTCTTTCTTTTAAAATTGTATTCCGTTGAATTTTCCCCGAGATCGGCATTATAACTGCGTTAACAAGTTATGCCGTTACGTACTTTCATTCGCAGTATTTTATGCGGACCTGCTGCTTTATGACTTAATTTAGTTTTAATCGCATTGACATAACGGGAAAGTTCCACATTTATAAGAAAACAGACTCGACATTTGTGCTCTATATATATGTACAGAGCTTAAATATATATATTATATATAAACTATATCTAGAGTTAAATGGAAAAAGAAAAAACCAATATCGTGGGCCTTTATCTTGACGAGCGGATCCATTGCTTTCGCAGAAAATACCATTGATTTAAATAACCGGGGCACGAGAGGCGCGATATTTTCCACTGAATATTCGTTTTCAGAGGCCGGGCGCTTTGTTTTTGAACGAGCAGATTTATGCCGTCCTTTGACACTTTTCATTCTGACGATTGAAACGGCGTAACTCACTTTCGGCCGGTGAAACTGGGAAAACGTCAGCACGGCGAAACGGCGCGGTGCAGCGATTTAACGGAATAATTTAGTTGATTTAACGAAAACCGCGAAATAACAATTTATTTGCATACCAGGCATCCGTACCCTTTAACCATGTGCGAATGTATCCGAACAAATCTTGCTGGATTTGATTTCTACCGCCTCGGATTGGAATTTCACATCGCCTCTCGCTCAGAAAGATAACGTTTCATATCCTCGTGATGGGTGAAAATATTGCGAACGTACGCGTTGTAAGAAATTAATATGATTTGTTAATAATTGAATGATCCAGCCAGGTATATATGAATAATAAAAGGTCTTTAAATTTTTTATTGATAGCTCTCTCTCTCTATTTAATACATTTCTCGTAATACATGCATATTTTGTGAAATATCTATCTACATATTTCTACATGTGTGTATATAATGATTTATATTTAACTTGTATGAATAAATTTTTGATTTTGTAATGAATTATACTATCTAATAACTTAATTCTTTATAAAACATAATATTTTACATTAAAACCAATACAAAATAATTGTATCATAAAATCATATTGTAAAAATTAAACAATAATGCATAAACAATAATTCTTTTAAATAATTTAAAACGGCCAATTTTCAAGCATTTACAAGATGTTAAAATTATAGGTATTTATTAATTTCAGTAGTATACATCAGTCGTTGTAATAACGACTGTATACTATTGAAATTATTAAATATAATTTTAACATTTTGTAAATGCTCGAAAATTGGCCGTTTTAAATTATTTAGCTTCTGCTTAGTCGAGCGAGATTATTTTGTTTATTTAATAATTATTTTACAAATAAAATATTTTTAAATTTGTGAATTGTGCTATCGCATTTAGTTTGCTCATTATATATAATTTACTTCTTTATTGTAGTAAATCAAAAAATATACAGAGAAATGTTTTTATGTGATCTTAATGTAATAGAGTAAAGATTGATGGTGCTAATCCATATTATAAATTTAATTTAATTTGCAACAAAAATTCTAATAAGAATTGATATTGAACATTATGATATCAGAAATAAAATATTAGCAGGATATTAGTGTTGAAGGAATTCCGAACTTAGCTCGTAATAACGAACGAGTGCTAGCAATTTTAAATACACGTTTGGAAGGGCGCGTGAAAATTGAATCACTTGGCTTTTGAAATAAAACGAGGCGGAGTAAGCAACGACCGCGCGTTTGGACGAGCGTAAGTGAAAATTCACATTTCCGGCGGCGAGCGGAACAATGGCTCCACCCTGGTGAAAGCATTCCGGCCGAAAGTGCACAAGGGTCGTCGTTTCGCCCCTCTCTATTTTCGGTTTTCGCCCTCCCGTCACACCCATGACGTGTGTCACCCCGCTTACTTTCCTTGATTCTAAGCACTATTGTTGACAACTTCCTCCGTATAGTTGTCCTAACGGGGCACTTTTCCTCTATTGCAGCCACACTTTTTGTTTGATTCACCCGCGATTCAATTATTCGGCAATATTTAATCGCCCTTCTATTTTGCCCGCACGTAACACATATTAATGTTATAATCAATAAATTTATTGATGTTGTACATTGATCGACATTGATGTATATTAATGAGATAATTTTCAAACCATAATTTCCATTTGATTATATATTTTATTAAATCTGATTTGTCATAGTTTAATTATCTCAATCTGACTTTTTCCTATTAAGAAAATATTGGCAAATAATAAATAAAATTAACATTGTAGAATTTTATAACGAAAATATCATGAATGTATAATTTACTCTGCAAAATTGTATTACTTAATTTATTTTGTATATAATCTGATTTATTTATTGATAATAACTTCCGACAATTTCATTAAAATGAAATATATCATGCGTCAATAAATCACTGCGTTTATAAATTTCAATGAACACGATGTCTCCAGAAAACAATTAGGAATTAAAAATACCGTGAAGCGCAGTGCTAATTCGGGAACGCCCGTGAGACGTCAGACGAAGATAATTAAACGACTCTTACGTCGATAAAAGAAAAGAAATTAGAGGCCCAAGATAAGAGGCGGGAATCTTCCTTTTCCTGGGAATTTCGTTCTAGACTTGTCCATTTAGAAAACGTAGAAAACTCTTATCGAGGCGAACGATTCCATGTAATGCAGAAAAACCGATTAGTGAGTTAGAAAATCGTTTTCATTGATTGACCACCTGCTTATCCTTCTTTTTTATCCTCTTTTAGTTTCTCTCTCTCTCTCTCTCTCTCTCTCTCTCTCTCTCTCTCCCTCTCTCTCTCTCTCTTCTCTCATGTGAGTACGTACATAACTAGCACATACATTTGTCCGCGTAGCAGGTATATAAGTATGCGCTTGATCCGTTGCCAAGAAAACTCTACCTCGGTTCCACCTATCTCAAATCAAGTTTTCACTCATATTTTCTCGCCGCCAATATTTCCGCCTTGCTTCCCGCGTTCCACCGGAAAGCTTTGCCCCGGCATATGAAACATCCACCAATATTTCGGGGCAAATAATCCCTAGTCGCACAGCGCGTGCATTCTCGTAAATTCGAGACTCGAATGCAATTTTCGGACTTTCACTGCGTTTTCTATGCGCCTGATTTCCATTTCGAAAGTTCTCCTGCCTGATCGGTTGGAAATATTCGTAAAACTGTTACGTAGTAAATTATACAGTGTATATATACATGCACGCGTGCGAGCGCACTTATATACACACGCGCACACACACATACACACAAAAAATTCATAATGTAAAATAATAATAAAAATTACCCAAATGAAATACAGGATATAATTTAATTTAGTTATGCAATACATTTCGTAGAGAAATAAACTTATAGTTTTGCAAATTTTGGATTTATGTAAATTGATAAATAGATTTGTTTTTCAACATTTTCCATGTCGCATAAATTATGACGATCTGTACAATAAACTGTGTCTTATATATTCAAAATCATGCATCATGCATTTATAATCGCGTAAATTTAGTTACTACACGCAATATTAGATTCCATCCGCATACGCTCCCAGACATGGAGACAAATATAGTAGCTTTATTGTGGAACACAAGATCTACAGTACAGCGTAGGAATGTATATGCTATGTGGAAAATGTACGCACGGCAAGCAGAGAATATTACGTTTACAAGGACAATGAGGTAGGCGAAAGCAAGCCGCAACCGAAACTCTATAGCGCTAAACAATGTGTCAATCAATCCTTCACATTAGGGACATCTATATGCGAATAACATCATCAAAATCCGTTTTCGGCGATATGAAGATCGCAACGTAGGTGACGTAGGTAATGCACTTTAGACTCGGAGGCTACACGTACGCGAAAGAAATTCCACCGGCATGGCACTCTCGTGACGTATAAAAAGAGAAAGAAAAAAAGAAGGTGTAAGAGAAGATGGCATCTGTGATGGCATCAGCTTCATGCTTTATGCTTTATGGATGTAGCCTGTATCCGCACGTGACACTGTATGCCCGCGGACATGATGTATGTCCTTGTTTGTTCTACAAATGATAACGTCGCCTTCGGAGTTCTCAGGGTGTTCTTGTTCTCTCGTAACACAGCGGACGATCGAAGACAAATTCGTTTCTTCTCGGCCATATATTCTTCTTGAAAGTAGTCCCTCGGTCGTATATAAAATAAGGTCCCTTTTATGTGTATTTATTACAGATCATACAACGCATTATATATTTTTGCTGCGACGCGACTGACATTGACGCGTACATTAATAACTCAAAAACGGCAAAAATGATACTTTTACCAAAAATCTTTTAAGCTGTACAACTCTTTATTGTTTTGGCCATCCATAAAAGATAATCGTTCATTAATCACCTATCGCGCGCATTTCCATTTTGTAATCTGTTTTGTAATATTCTGTTTTTTTTTTTTTTAATATAATGTTCTATAACTAGATTTTAAATTCTATTTAAATTTTAAATTTAAAGATACGAATTCAAATTATTCGTATCCAGACAATCGAAATCTTATTCCCGATAAAAAAAAACATGTACGCATTATAAACAGACGAGTGTTTTTAGTAAATTGATGAACTGTGAAAATATTTTGAAATGCTAACAGATCGTTCTTCTCTGCGATGCATTTAGAAAGGTTGTGTGTATATGTAAAAAGTAAAAATACAACTCTGGAGAAAAGCCGTGTGTCAACGCTAACTTTATAGTCCATGAAATTTTATAGTACACGTATCACATAGAATCACGTTACTGTAGCTAAACTCGATACGCATCCACGTTTGTTCCTCGGAGTAATAACGCTGGGCGACCTCCCGACTTCATTGCGCACTTCCTTTTTCCATTTTACTCTTGTTCACGAAGACAAAAGACGCAGCTACGTTAAATGAGTGAGACAAAGGACAAAGCTGCATTAAGGGTAACATAACCGCATGATATCCTTAGCAGGCGGCAATAATAATTCCCTTTGTGAAACGCGATAGTAAATGTAGAAGATATTTCGATACCCGCGCAGTTACATATAGAATAAATGATGAAAGGACTTTCCATAAGCACTAAACGCGATCTATTAATTATTTGAGATTATAGCTCGGACGGTTATAGCTCGGTTAAATTATGTACGAGAACGAAGTACTTTTCGAATTGTGCACTTATTCCAAGAAGATTTGTGCCATATTAAAAGATAAAAGTTTTACGGTACAATAAATTTTCTATCATTGAAAGCTTTTATGTAATTCGATAAAAAAGATTCAAATATACAATTAAGTTGAAAAGAATCAATAAAGATTAAAATTACAAAATGTGATATAATTGTCATTAAATGCGCCACTAAAAATATCTTGAAAAAATCTAGTAAGCACTAATTCATGCCGCTTGTTGTTTCAGATCGAGAGTAATGGGCTATACCTGATACGGAATTACAGTGTCTCTCATGAAAACGAGAAACGATCTACGGTCTCGAGGATCGAGTTTAAAGTGATAAACAGTATGTTTCGCAAAGGATACTTACATCTGCGCTGCACGGCTTCCATTTCAGACGTTTATCGAAAATCGGCGGATATTGAAATCTCCGAGGACACGCCGCGTATCGCATCCATCACCGGCGAATCACCACCGTACGGCCATCGTAAGTATTCATCGACTTCGCTGTGCCACTCTATTCTGATCTTGTCATCTTTAAGAATCACCTTTAATCGTTGAGGAAAAATTATATGTCTCTCTTTCTAATATAGAAAACTAATTCTATTGTTTTCTGAATATTTTTACTAGCTAGTCACATGTCCATGATAATAATAAAATCATATCTATAAATTTTATCAAGAAGAAAACAGGACTTAATTTTAATTAACCAATACTGTGTCGAGTTTTGAGATATCAGGCAATTATTTTTCTTTGCAATATGCTAATAACTTATTCTGACTTAATTCCGAAACTCCTATTTTTTGTATTACAATCTTGTTATTTCGGTTCAGCGACGTGATAATACGTCATGCCTTAGAAAACTATGAACACTGGACAAATTGTAGACGGTTTTTTTTCTTTTCTCTGTGTATCTTTCTAGAAAGTTTTCGAGATACTCAGCGATCGCGAGCGAATAAATAGCTATCATCAAACTTGTAACGAACACGTAAGTTTGACTTAGATAGACGTTACAGGCGTGTTTCCGTGAAAACTAATGTTTTTCAAGAGAGAAACTAGGAGCATCGGTAAACAGAAAGTCCGTCACAGTAGCGAGAATACTTTCTGAATCATATATATCGGCGCTTACTCGTGACATCGAATCAATGCAGCATCGTGATAGTAATACGATCATGCCATCTCCGACGGCGGAAAACCATGGAACTGCAGAGCGAACATTAGTTCGATATATCTGCCGCGATTGTGGCGCGTGATCGTCAAGCGTGCTTATACGCGAGTCGCGCGCGATATTATTGAACTGAACAAAGTTCATTTATCAAGCCAAATGGAACGACGAGCGAGTAGGCGTAAATACTCTTTCTGTGTGCGAGTAACGCAGTGGCAAATCGACCGAGTCACGCACTCACAAAGTTAACGAGGCACAAAGTCTGCCGTGCTTTTTCATCCTTTGTCTAACAATACAAAGGTTTCTATCAAATGCAAAATTACTGAATCACAAGAAGACGAGAAATGCATTCGAGAGACGAGAAACGAGAAGCGTATTCGATTGTGACGTATAATGGTGACTCACAAATACGATACGCGCGCGCAATATTGATATTGCAAGTTCAGCTCTGTGTATCGTTTTGATTTGCAAGCATTTTATAAAACATATTATGCAATCTCCCTAACCCATCGTAGCTCTCTCATGGCGAATATTTAATCTCGAATAGTCGTATGCAGTTTCGCGAGATACGATTGCGCGGACAACAAAACGCGGCGGCTCTTGGAGGGAACGTGTTTCTCGAGGCAAGTGTAATAAAGCTAACAGCAACAATAACATTTATGGTCCCGCGACCCCCCATGAATGTATCGGGCCGTGTGCAATCTTTTACGTGAATCACGTCGCCCAACGACAGTTATGTGCTCTTCGCAGCCGTATCGAGTCGAAGTCACCGAGGAACCGTACGTAGGGGCTACGATTGTTCTAGCTGAAAAAGCATAGCCGTTATCCAGTTACAGAAAATGGTCTCGCATCCGTCTTCCCGATCGCGTCACTCCGCGCGACGCGCCTGTCACTTCGATTTAATGCGTGTCTTATTTCCAACCCCCGTCGCGCATGCAGCCGCACGTGAACGCCATTGCTAGAGCAAATTCGTTCCCCTTCGAGTAGCGCGGCAAGGATGACTCACAGTGATATCTCTCGTAAACGTATGGGTCAGCGAGCCCCTGCACGCCTTTATGTAATAAACCAATCAATAATATGAAAGTCGCGTCAGAGAGTTAGACTATAAATTCTTTTCGCGCACAATTTCACAAGATTATATTGAATCTCGCTGTTAAAACTGATTTATTATACAAGGTACGTTGCACCTTGCGATTTTCAATCGCGTCTAAGGACACCTCCGGAAAAGTGTCATGACGACGTTAGGAAGTTGTGAGGATGCGCTTTTCTGCCGGCAGAGATTTACTTAAGGTTGATAAAGAACTGCACTATTTTTCTAAAGATTTTTAAATTGCCGAGCGGTTTATAAATAGAGAGGATTACAGCGGGACGGTATAGCGGGCCGTGTTATACACACCAAATTTCCTCCACGCACACAAAGCTGCAAAACTTTCTGAAGATCCCCTCGCCGCAAAACCATTAATCAATGATGGGGAAAGAGAGGGTGGAGAGGGTAAGGCCGAGTTACCAAGTTATTTGATTGACACCATAAAGATCGTTAATAGCAAGAGTGCCATCGTATCAGCGCGAGTGGCGTACACATTTATCACAATGTCGGTAACAGCAATTTACACAAACACACAGGTACACGGCGGAGATATTCCCCCGTTCGCGTAATTCAACGATGATTAAACTGCGCCTCATTACAAGAGGTAACAAAATGTAATTGAAATCGCTTGTTGGCCGATATCGATCGCGCCTGTCAGCGCCTATTTATCCGTATAACAGACGAGAGCCATTCTTCGCAGAGCCATTTTTATGTAAAATATATCCAAGAGTGTGTTTGAGTATTAATTAAAACTCCGACGCGCAAATGAAATATCTCGGTGGTGGCGCGGCGCGGCGCGGCGCGGCGCATCGCGTTTTATCGCGTGATAATATCGCGCGTGACGAATATTAAATAATAAAATAAGAACAACACAACCGATTACGACTCAGGATTATTTCCGTGGTGTAAAGATCTCCGCGCCGCGGAGAGACCAGCTATTTCTCTCGCCTCTGAAATTGTCGGCTCACTTAGGTCCTGTCCTCCTCCGCCTCCAGCGCTATTAATCAATGAGGAATTCAGCAATTAACGCTCCGGTTTTATTAACGTGTCACCGAAGCTCGCACATCGCACGTGGCGTATGTACAGGAAATATTTATAAAAACACTTTAAAATATCAGTTTGTATTTATTTTATCTATATGTATATATATATGGTTCCGTGACGTACCGCGTTTATTTAAGAAGTATAAAAAATCGACGAACATAGCAATGTTGGCGCAAAACGATTATATACGTAATAACATAAAAAAACATCGTCGAGAACGATACAACGTAAAGTTGTGAAGACCAAATACACCTAAAAGTTTCTCACCGCGAGAAGTAAGATTTATCTCCCCTCCCCCTGCTACCTCCCAAAGGAGCTATTAAATAAATTTATGTCGATATCCTAAATCCCAGAGAAATCGGTCGTTGCTGGTAAATTCAATCCGTACCGGGGGCACACTCTCGTCTCGTCGCTAATCGTAGATCAACTCGACGAATTTGGATCGAAACCTTCGTCCTGAATACACACACCGGAGGGAGGAAAAATCTCTCTTAGAAGCCTGTGTAAGTCGCGACGAGGGCGAATCGTTTACGAGCGACCGGATGGTTCCTTCGGGAAGCGGCGGTTCCTGGTAATGCGCTCTTTCGCGGAGAAGCGAATGAGGAACTCGCGTTTACGATTTACGTCGTTACGATTACAGGAGAGATTTCACGGGCTGGAGTCGCCCGACAATATCCGTACGGAGGAGGCGCGATAAAACTGCAAGCCGCGGGCTATATCGCTCTCTCCGAGATCGGAGATTTCATCTACGCCGACGGCGTCAGTGCCTACTTTCGGTCGTCGATACCATTACTTCGTACTAAAAGAAGCGTATAAACGTGGCATTAGGACTAAGACGAGTGTGCACCCGCACCATTCGCTTACTCCGTGCGCAATATACGCGTCGCGACGTCCTGTCTGTACCTCTTTTATACCATCACTGCGCGACGCCGCGCTGACGTCGCTCCCTTTTGGCAGAACAAGATAAAATCCACTAAAATCACACGTTCTCGAGTCTTGACGCTTTCCTCTCCCCAGAATCGAACATTAGACCGCAAAATATAGAGATCAGACCGTCTCAAGACGAACTTCGTTCGAGTTTCTTTACTGAATTGCGATTACAAATATGATGTTACGAATATCGAATTAACTATCAAAATATATCTGTTATACTATGTGATGTGTCAAGAACAATATTTCAGATAAGCTTTTTAAAACGCGATTATGAGCACGGTATTAAGTTTGTCATGAGCTGTCTATCTTGTATGATATTATTTTACAAGTATTTATTTTCGATATACACCATGGCCAAAGCACGGAACATTTTTATTAATAAATTACAGCAAGGACAATAAATTGTCTAAATAGAGAAAATTTCATCTTCGGTCGGGCCGAATTTTAAGTAGCCTAATAATAATATTTTTCTATAAATTTTGTATTTATACACGTATTTAGCAAACTGCGCGCCGATTATTTGTCGAACTTGAAACGCAATTTCCCGTTGGAACAGTAAATCCACATACTTAAATTGATTAATCGACTAAAAAATAAATATTCTCTTCATACATTAATTTCTTGTATCACAAACAATTTTAAGTAAAGAATTGCTTACGCATAAAGTCATAAATAATTTTAGATAACGAGTGATGCATAGAATTACAATTTAAAAAATAAAAAATTGCTGGTGCGTAAAATCTTTCTGTAAAGATAGGATTTTATATAAGGATTGTAATTTTAAGAATATAAAACTTTGCAATCTTTTTAATGTTAAATTTTTAATTAATGATAATATTTAATTATTAATTAACTATTGTTTTACATATTTAAAAAATTGACTGTAGGGTAGACCGGGGCACGTTGTCACACATTTTGTTAAATATTTTTTTTATTTTTTACGTTCAATATTTAAGAGTACTTTGATATGCCAAAATTTCGAGTAAACCCTCAGCTTCAATTGGACAGTATCGAATTTTGTGTGATTGTTACTCTATAGTTGTTACATAACAATAAATAACGACAGGTCGCTTGTGACAACGTGCCCCGTGACCGGGGCACGTTGTCACATCAAATGTAATTGCATGCAAAATGTTATCCAAACTGTATTCAACGTAAATATCAATATATTATAGTGCTCTGCAATGTAAAAAAGTAAAATCCTTCACAGAAACATTTATTTTATTTCAAAAAAGTACAAAAAGCACGAAGTTTTCGT